TTGTCAATATAAATTACCATATCTTAAATATGTGTATACCAACTAGCATGATAAATTGTACAATATCCACTAGTTCTGCCCCTTAGATTTCACGTGGGCCTTTTGTTGCACTGTCCTGTAAGCCTTTGGCTTATTGATTCATTGGTTTCACTAAATGTCAAGAGGCACTAATTCTAAGTTATACCAGTTCTAAATATACTTCACCAAAAGTGAAAATATATATGTGGTATTTTCCTGCTTACAGATTTGTGCACAGGCCTTTAAAATAAATGAATTAAGCTTCCTAGAAGCAGCAAATTGCCAAGAGTGAAGTTCAGGGTCAAGCAGTAATCCTCACTTAAAGTAGACACACCTAACATAAGGCAAGGAGAGGATGACTGGGAAAGTTTTGACCTAACTTTCCCACAAAAAGGAACAAGTTCAAAGTCATTTCAGCCTTCTCAGAGGTGCATGGGTTACAGCCAATACGACGGAGCCTAATTCATAGTTCATAACTCATAGAATGAATGAGAGTGATCACCTCCATTTTAGATAAATGATAGAGAAAATGATCTAAGGCTTCTGGTTCTGATTTCCAAAAATACCAATAATTTAACACCATTAATAACCAGATTTCAGTGTCGTCAACTGAAACTGTTTTCAAACTGAACTGAACAGGGCCCTCGCTGGTGCCGCAGCGGGCTAAAGCCCAGCATTAAGAAGCTAAAGCCACTTGCCATGAGTTCCATCCCTGCCCCGGAGGTGACCGGCATGGTGCGGCAGACCTCTCCTTACCCGCCCTCTGCTCCCCTCAGCAGTGTACTTCGACATCAGCCTGTTTTGCACCTCACTCTGTCTCTGGTGAAGCGTCTCACCACCCTGCACCTCTGGCTTGTACCGCAGCTCTGTATGCACAAATAAATAAATCTTAAATATATATATATAGTTTTTTTAAAAAACTGAACATAACAAACCAAAAAATTAATAGTTCTTATTACTTTGGGAATCCTCTAAAGATGGAAATATTACATTATCTTTATTAGCTAATTTAACAGTAAAACACCCAGATAATGTTACTTGACATGGAATGTAATTAATCGTCCCATTCTCTAGCTTTCTGAAAAAGAGGGTAGATGCTGAACACAATTAAGGTGTTTATTTTCACCACTGTAAAACCTGTAGCAATTTTTAAATGAAGAAACCTAGATATAATGCAAGAGTTTCTAAGATGTCACAGGTTTTTATATTTCACAGTTTTATATTAACTCAGACCTCTTAGCCCTATGACTTCAACTACTGACACTTCAAGAGCTGTACAATTTATAGATGCCCCATGTGGAAATGAAAATAAAATGAGAATAATTATAATATAATTCTAACTCCATAACTCTAAATAAAAAATTTTAGACAGAATTATTCTTCCATCATTTATAATTTCAACACCTATTACATTTCTCTGTATGAAATTTTAATCAAAGTGCTTCAAAATGTTAATAATTTTCTTTGAAAGAATATCTAAAAGGTTTATAAATGTTGAAAATACCACAGAGAGACTGATACTAAAAGCAGAATTAAAATAATAATGTATATGTTTTGCCAAAAGAAATCTTAAAATAAATCTAATTATGGATTGTAAGCTCAGGGAAACCATTATCCACATACAGATAAATCTTAATTGTATCCTGAAATTGTTCCTACACAGAAAAGTTTTCAATAATCTTTAGTAAAAAGTGGAATGACCCATTTCGTTAGTTATGCAAAATTCTCAAAATGTTGCCATGTCTATGATCCATTAACACAAAGAAAGATAAGGCACTAAAATGTAAAATAATTGATGGAATTTTGATAGAGTTCATTCTTCAGCAAAGCTACCCTTTAACCTTTTCTTCTGATGACAATCAAACCTTTTCCTATGGTTACATATTTTAAAACAAAAGAGCATTGCCCTAAGTTATAAGCATTTAGAAATAGTGAGTTTGACCTGGTTTTCATTTAAACCTAAAGACAATCTGCTAGAATAAATTATATAGACCCTAATAAACATAAGACCTGCTCCACCCTTAGACATGTGAGCTTTTCAACAGTTGCACATGACATAATAGCACAGGCAATGTCATGTTTCTTTTTGCTTGAACATTATCCAGAAAATTATTAGGAATGAATAATTTTACTCAACTTGCTAAATGCTATATTGGCCACAGTTCTTCAGAAGATAAATTTAATTTTATTAAGAAGGAAAATTCATGGGGCCCTCCCTGGTGGCGCAATCGGTTAAAGCACAGCACTATGAAGTTATCAGCAGTCACTGCAGCAACAGTTCAATCCCTAGTCAGGGAGGTGACACATATGGCACAGCAGACCTCTCCTGACCCATCTGCTGCAGTACATCTCAGTACATCTGCCTGTTCTGCTCCCCACTCTGTCTGTAGTGAATCCTCTCATTCTCTCAACCTCTCCCTTCTGCTCCCACATCTCTGGCCTGTACCCCAATTCTTGTACACATAAATAAATCTTAAAAAAAAAAAAAATGGAGGGCCCTCCCTGGTGATGCAATGGGTTAAAGCATAGCACTAAAAAGCTAAAAAGCCACTTCAGCATGAGTTTGATCCCTGCCCCAGAGGTGAGCCACATGGCGCAGCAGATGTCTACTGACCCACCCGCTGCTCCCCTCAGCAGTGTACTTCGTCAGTCCGCCTGTTCTGCTCCCCACTCTGTCTTGGGTGAATCCTCTCACCACCCCTGCACCTCTGGCTTATACCCCAGCTCTGTATGCATAAATAAATAAATCTTAAAAAAAAAAAGAAGGAAAATTCATGATCATCCTATATTCTATAACGAGCAAATATGACAATACAGCATTTGCCTCTACTCACAAGTGTTTCGCATCCAACTCTCTTGGAACTTATTCATAGTTCTTGCAGACTATGTCATGTGTCATCTCAGAGAGGAGACTATAGTCTCAATGTGTTCCCTCCTCACAAATAATTGTCATTCACTTATTACCACTTTCCCATTACAGGATCTATGCTTCCTACTCACTACTTTATCTTCATAACCTTCATAAGCCTGGCTGGAACTACTCAAGATATATTTGTTGAACAAAGAAATTAATGTATGGATGGATGACACGCACTGCACTAAATGTGAGGAGTACCATCAGAGAATTCACAATCTAATAGGAGAAAGAGATGTAAAAACTGCAATATAGCATGATCAATGTTATATCACAATGATATCAGGTATATCAATGACCAATAAAAGAGGACTATGCTAGTTATGGTTTCACAGAAAAAGAGTTACAATATTTTGAGGTTTGAAAGATAAATAGGAGTTCATGTGATGATTAAATGAAGAGAAGCCTAAAAAGAAGGAATAGTATGTGCAAAGAGAGGAAATAAAACCCTCATTTGCTTAGGTAGTTTGACAAAATGGAGCACAAGGGTGTAAAGGAGGTAGCACAAAATACAAGAAAGTAGGCAGCACTGTTTTCAGAGAAAGTAACTAAAATCACAGCAATGTGACCTCTCTTTTCCTCTCCAGGGGCTTCACTCCATCAGACAGTGTGATGCCTCAGTGCAGCTGTCTAAACGGTGGCAATGAGGCACTAGCCTAGGGGTGTTCTGCTCATTGTCCTTCCAGGAAAGCATGGCAGCTGCAAAATAGCCACACTAGTACATGGCAACTATGGCTCCCGAGAGACATGGCTCAAGGAAGATCTAAGGGGAAGCTGCTCCACCCTATGACTAAACTCTGGACTCATGTAGCATTACTTCTGCCACATCCTCTTGGTCCACTGACAAAGGCCTTCCCAGACTTCAGAGAAGACAACACAGACCCACTCTCTGGAAAGAGAAGTGTCAACATTTCTTCTACAAAGTTCATGGAAAACACAAGCTGTTACAATTAAAAACTGCTGGATTTAAAAAAGCTTTGAAATACAGTTGAAATGGACCTGGAAAAGTCATCTACTTGTCATTAACAAAATTCATTCTGCAAGACATAGCTCAAATGCCCTTTTTCTTAGGATTTCCTCTTTGATGTACCCCCCACTTTCAATTTTCACTTTGAAAATATGTCCACTCTCTCCCTTGGTATATTCTATTGTAATTAGTTTAAAAAGAAGGCTTACCTGTCAATTATCCACACACTTCCCCTTCAACGCATATGACATTGAACTACAATACAGTCTTCAGCTTGAATAAGGAAAAGTTACTTCTAGGAAAGTGAACGCGACACGAAGCACAAAAAACAAAGGGGAGCAGAGAGGAAAGCCCAGTAATTCAGAGAAGAAAAACACACAATACACAAAGAAAGGAAAGGTAATAAGCTTTCCTCCTACACAAAAGGTAGAAAACAAAGCTTCAGGTGTCAAATAACCTAAAGATCAAGCAGATTAAGGTGGAAATATTGTCCACAGCAATAGTTCTCCCATCTCACGTGCATGAGAATCAACTGGAGGGTCTCTAGTCCCAAGTATCTTTTCCAAGCAGATCTGGGTGGGCCCGAGAATGTGCATTTCTCAGGATTTCCAGCCACTGTTGGTTTTTTTCGTGATCTGCTACCATATTCTAAGAACATACCTAAAGATTTTTACAACTTGAGGCACAACAGTAGCCCTAACAATGATGAAGAACCCAAGAAAGGCGAAGACAAGTGGGCGGAGAAGACGACCCAAAAGACGAAAGAGGTATAATTCTAACACAGCCAATTTCTGTGTGGGCTCACTGAAGGCCAGCGTACCCAGTGACCGCAGCCACGGTAGCAAAGCGCCCCCTTCCGACCCTCCGAATGGAGTTAGCGGGGATCGCCAACAGCGACTGAGCAAAGTGGGCGGGGCCAAACGTCAGCTCCCACAGTGTCCAATCAAAGGTTCCGGGAGAGCAAGACGGAGACGCAATACCCGCCTCGTAGCATGGGCGGGGCCACCGACCTGTGATTGGCTAGCGCCGCCCTTGCGTGGTGACGTTACACCAGAGCTGACAATTTCTGAGCGCCGCGCGGGAGCTGAGAAGTGGCGGGTCGCGTACGTCCCGGAAAGTTTTGGTACCTGTCATTTTGCTGCCTGGTGCCATTTGGGAGAGCCGGGGGCTAATTCCCGCGAGCTTCCTGTCCTAGCACCGGCTACCGACAGTGCTTCTGCCCCCAGCTGCTCGGGTGAGCTTGCGAGTGGGACTGTGTGTTTCCGAGTGGGACTGAGTGGGACTTAGTGGGACTGTGTGTGTTTATACGCGCGCGCGCGCGCGCGCGCCCGGGGTCGGTTTCTCTGAATTCGGGCACCCACGAGAGGAGAGGAGCAGACTATGCTCGCGGTTTCCCAAGGCTTCGGGCACTTCCCCTTTATTACCTCCATCTTCCTCCCAAAGTCCTTTGGGGTGGGTCGCTATCGCATGGCTGTGGCTCTAGTACCACTGGTCTGATGGGTCTTGTGGTTGTAGGAAGTTCGACATTGATTAGCTCTCCCAACAGTTTTCAGTGCCTGCTAAAAGTTAGGCACTGTGCTAAGTGCAGGGACTATACAGGTAATTATGATCTCAGTGATTAGAGACCAGGCATTGAGCAGACGCGCACTCTGAACAGAAATAAACACAGACTCTGGAATTGGAAGACAACTGTTTAGTGGTGTGGTGGTGAGGAGTATATAGAAACACTTGTAAGGAGTGAACTCTGAGAGACTGACTTACAGTTTGAAGGGAGAGTCAAAGAATCGAACAACTGAAGTCTGTGAATTCTCTAGCCGCTCCCAACAAGGCCCTATAACCCAATAAACCTTACCCTTTTCCAGATAAGTAGTTGCCTATTCTTGCAAATAAGTGGAAAACACATTGCCGGTTATTGGTTATTTTATTTCCCTTGACTCGGTTTCAGAGAAGATGACAGAGGAGCTGGATTTCATAGGACAGGACTCTGATGGGGATAGTGAGGAAGTGGTGCTCACGCCTGCAGAGCTCATTGAAAAGCTGGAACAGGTAAGCATCCCAAGTAGAATACTCTTGCTCCAATCTTAACCTTTTATTTAGCCCAACTGTGCAGTGTCAGGAATCAGAAAAGGAGGGAATGGAATTCAAAGCTTATTTCGAGAGAAGAGGGAATGAACTTTGCCAACTACAAAGACATATGAAATAGTGGGGACAGCTTCTTAGAAACCTCATAATGCCAAACAAAATACTCTTAGTGGAGCCAGTAAGTGACAGTTTTAGGCACATTTAATAGAACAATTCACAGAGCAAGGATCTATTTATATTTGCAGGCAGTGCGGAGATATTATATTGGAGACTAGTAAGTTCTATACTTTTGTCTCTTAATACATCTGTGTTTTCCTGTAGAATGCTTGAGTTAACAAGAAGTTCTAATACACTTTATGAGGGAAAGCTAGTCTTAATATTCTTTTCCTCCTTTTATTTTCTGTACCAACTGTTGTTTATATTTCCACTGCTTATCTAAAGATTGGGTGTGGATAGTTCTCCGTTGAGTTGTAGCTATGACTTATTGAGTGGTTTCTGTGTGTACTATTGTTTCATGAGATTCTGGTGGTTAGGAGTTCAGACCATCTGGATTTAAATTCCTCATACTACTAATCTTTCATGTGGCTTTAGGAATATTATATAATTTGCCTCAAGCCCTTCCTTGACTGTAGAGATAGCTCTAATAATAGTGGCTACCTCACATGACTGTATTAAATGGGACCATATATGTAAAGTGCTTAGCTTATTGTCTGACACTTGGTAAGTACTCACTGTAGTAATAATAGCTATAGTAACCCAGTGAGGAAAGTATTTTTGTTAATTTCTATTTTATAGGTGAGGAAACTGAAGCTAGTAATGTAAAGGAATTTACCTAAGGTCATACAATGACTGAAGAAATGGGACATGAACTAGATCTCTGTCTCTAAAACAGGTGCTCTTTATCGACTATAAATGCTACCTCATTCCTGCTTTCTCCCTTAAATGACCCCTGTCCGGAACTTTTATTTTCACTTTTCACTCATTATTCTTCCCTATAATACATGCCATCATGAGTGACAAAACCAAAGGAAGAAAAATTTTATAATTTTTAAATTATATCTTATAATCTTTATCAGGCTAGTGATTCTTAGTCTGTTTTTATATCACATCACTTTGTGAAAATCTGGTGAAAATTCTGACTTTTCCAGAGTACTATACATGTTGACCAATGCATAATTATCCATATAACCTTAGGAGGGTCACAGACAATCTAAAATCTGTCCACTGATCTTGTCTGTTTAAGAGATACTGTTTAATTAGGAAATAATTCATTAAACAAAAATCAAAAAGCACAGAGCATTTAAAAAAAAATGCATTCAACTATATTAAGATCTTCTTGTTCTACACCTTAATGAGTAAAAAGACAAGCTGTGGAACTGGGGAAAAATATTTGCAAAATATATAATTCACAAAGGATTAATATTTGTGGTGCATAAATAAACCGTACATGAAGTCTTAAGAAGCATCTCCCAGAAGTAGAAACCAGGATGGCCAATATACATATGAAAAGGATGTTCAGCATTTACTGTAACAGAAAAATGAAATTTAAATCACAACAGGAAATTAAGAAATTACTTCATGTCTATCAGATTGGCAGGAATATAAAGGGTAAACCATATCAAGTATTAGCAAGGATGTACAGCAGTTTCCACATTTTTATATAGCAGTATGTGTATAAATTGATATAATCACTTTGAAAATTAATTTATTATTGCTAGGAAAGTTTAAGGTACCTGCTAAAGGAATTACCGTGGCCCAGTAAATCTACTCTATTTGCCACTCTTTTCTATTTAAATGAAAACTCAGTGGGTAATCCAGGAGACATGTACAAAGTATTTGTGTCTTTGCCTAGTTAAAAGCTAAAAATAGGCCCTCACTGGTGGTGCAACAGGTGAGTACAGTACTGCAAGCTAGCCGCAGCCGCTTCAGTTTGAGTTCGATCCCCGCCCGCCCCCGAGGTGATCCACATGGAGAGGCAGACCTCTCCTGACCCGCTCCATGCTCCCCTCAGCATGGAGGGGAGTGTACTTCATTAATCTGCCTGTTCTGCTTCCTAGTCTGTCTCTGGTGAGTCCTCTTGCTGGCCCCGCACCTCTGGCCTGTACCCCAGTTCTGTATGCATAAATAAATAAATCTTTAAAAAAAAAAAAAAGCTGAAAAGAAGCCAGATATCCATCAACAGTGGAATGGGTTAAAAAGTGTGGTATAAATACAGAATAGGGGTGGGATGAACAGCAATGAAATAAAAATAGTTCCTGCATGGATAGCTAACTCTCAGGAAGCTCAAAAAGTAAGTACCTGAAGAAACCATAAGTATAAATTTCATTCACCAGCACCCTCTGTGTACTCCTGTGAGGTGTTAGTCAGTGGCTTCTTCAGGTGCCTCAGGCCATGCCAAGTGGTCTTAAGAGTCTGTCTGTCAGCATCATACAAACTTGCAGTATACAAATTTTCCAAGCTGTTGTTGAAGGCAGAGCTTGCCATCTTGGGTGATGTGGCACCTTGATTTGCTATAAATGTTTCCTGATGTTGATCCTCTGCTCTCTGGAACAGCCAGAGCCTCAGGCTGATGGCCCCTGAGGGCAGCCAAGGAGAGGGACCACCCACTAGAGGCAGCCACTGCCAGACATGACTCAGCCTACCTGGCATGGCCTCAGGCGCCCAAGGGAGCCACTGACTAACACATCTCCAAGGGCATATAGAGGATACTGCTGAGAGTCTATAAAATTGATCTAAAAGTTATTACCTATAGAGCAGAGTTTCTCAGTTTTTTTTTATTTTTAAAGATTTATTTATTTATTTATGCATACAGAACTAGGGTACAGGCCAGCAGTGCAGGGGCGGTGAGAGGCTTCGCCAGAGACAGTGGGGAGCAGAACAGGCAGATTGACCGAAACCCACTGCTAAGGGGAGCAGTGGGTGAGACAGAAGAGGTCTGCTGGCTGGGGATAGAACTCTTGCAGCTGTGGCTGTGGATAGCTTCACACTCCTTCACTTCAACCTCTTTCCCCACCAGAGAGGGTCTCCATCTATAGATTTGATACTAGAATCTGAGGTTCTGACATGAGATCAGTTCTGGATGGTAAGGTTTGAATTGCTTAGGAATTTCACATGATCCAGAAATTTCAAAAAGTTTTTTTGTTGTTGTTAAAGATTTATTTATTTATGCATACAGAACTGGGGTACAGGCCAGAGGTGCAGGGGTGGTGAGAGGATTCACCAGAGACAGAGTGGGAACCGAACAGGCAAATCAACGAAGTACACTGCTGAGGAGAGCAGTTTCTCATTTTTTAATGATTGTATTTGTTCACTAAGGCTGTATACCAAAGTACCACAGAATGGGTGGCTTGAACAGGAATTCATTTTCTCAATTCTGAAAGTTAAATATCCAAAGATCAGGTGCCAGCCTGGTAGGTTTCTTCTGACCTGTCTTCTGATCTTGTAGATGGACATTTCTTTATGTCTTCACAAGATCTTCCTTCAATGTGTCTCTGTTTAGATTTCTTCCTCTTAAAGGGTACCAATCATTTTGGATTAGGGTCCATTCCAATCACTTCATTTTAACATAGGTCTTTAAAGACCTATCTCCAAATACGTTCACATTTTTAGGTACTAGGCGTTAGAATTTCAGCATATGTATTGGGAGATGAAGGAAGACATGATTTAGCCCATAAAAACAATGAGTGGAGGCCCTCCCTGGTGGTGCAGCGAGTTAAAGCACAGCACTAAGAATTGAAAGCTACTTCCTCATGAGTTCAGTCCCCGCCTGCCCCAGAGGTGATCCACATGGGCGGCAGACCTCTCCTGACCCGCCTGTTGTTCCCCTCAGCAGTGTACTTCGTCATTCTGCCTGTTCTGCTCCCCACTCTGGTCTTGGTGAATCCTCTCTGCCCCTGCACCTCTGGCCTGTACCCCAGTTCTGTATGCACAAATAAATAAATAAATCTTTAAAAAAAAAAAATGAGCGGATTGTTATTTAAGCATTTTGATAAAGATTCAATTAAAGCCTTTTAGCCATAGAATCTGATTATTCTAAAACACCCTGGATATAAACACAAATTGCTCACTAACATTTTTGAAAAGATTTTATTTGAAAGCTTCATATTTTATTATTGTAATTTCAAATTGTAAGTGAGAAATCTTCTATTCCCACAGTTCTTGATTTTACCTCAGTGTATCATCCTACACTATCATTTTTTTTAAATTCCATCTCATGAAAAACTGGGAAGTATTATGTAGTGATAACAAGCAAATGTGAAACTACAGAAAGCTATACACTAAATTCAGGTTAATGATTATTACTAAAGAAGGAGGGACACAGGGATTTTTTTTTTAATAATGGTAAGGGTCCTCCCTAGTGGTGCTAAAGGTTAAAATGCAACACTATGAAGCTACTGCAGCCACTTCAGCTCGAGTTCAATCCTAGGCCAGGGAGGTGACCCACATGGTGCAGCAGACCTCTCCTGACCCACCTGCTGCTCCCCTCAGCAGTGTACTTTGGCAATCTGCCTGTTCTGCTCCCTGCTCTGTCTGCTGAATCTTCTCATTGCCACTGCACCTCTGGCCTGTACCCCAGTTCTATGTGCATAGATAAATCTTTAAAAAAATAAATAGATAAAATAACGGTCCTAATCCTTTAATGAAGTTATGTGCACATGGTATTTATGTCACTCTTCTTTATGTTAATACGTGTTTTGTGAACATTTTTGTACCGATTCAATATTTAATATAATTAGCTAAAAAGAAAAACTGCTTTATAACTCTATGAAAATTTTATCTTTTCTCATTTACTATACTACTTGAAAATATTGCTTCTCTTTCTGGCTAATTTTATATACCTATAACACTACTACAGAAGCGTGAGCACCTGAAAAAAGTTTATGATAGTAGCAATACTTAGCATTTAATAGCATGTCTAAATGGTGGTAACAGGAAAAATAGAGGCTCAAGGATGTCAAAAGAAGTAAATGGGGAGAAATAAATTTTGAGCTATGCTAAAAGTAAATTTTCTGTAACTGAAAGATAAATATATAGTCTTTTCTCAGTACCTGTTGCTATCTCAGTTCTCTAAGCCTTGGTAATTTCTGAAATGTACCAAACATCAGGACCTGAGTTATAAATTAGGGACTTAGCCTCTTATTCCAAAACTGTAATAGATAAATATCCCTTTCGAATGTGATCCTTAATTCTCTGGGCTGTTAGTAAATGACATAATTTGGTTTTCTCATCAAGTATGGATAACCATATGCATTTCCTGTCAGACATAATGCTGATTGAAAAAATATTTATAATGTGCTCTGAACTCCAAGAATGAGAAGGTGTATAGATTCCTATGAAGTGTTTCTTCGTTTCTCTAAGAGAAGTAGTGCTGGTGCCTCCTGGTGGCACGTAACTGGGAGAGAAGAGGAAATGTGTAGATGCGAATTGGTAACTTGTCTGAGTACCCGGTGGTGTTACAGGCATAGGTGACCTCTTGACTACATTTTTGAAGTAAACCGATCTTTTTGTAATGCCGGTTCAATATAAATTTGTGAACACAGACTTACCACTGAAAGAAAGAAAAACCACCATTAATTATAGTTTGTGTTCAAAACATTTCTATTATTTCCAGCTAGTAAGCAAACAATTTCTTCACCTAAGGTTGCTGTGATTTTTATGGCATTTTTTACTAACTCACAGGGTTAGTTCTCTCCATGATGAGTGAGGCTCACATGTTTTGCTTTGCATTATTGTTTAGGCCTGGCTGAATGAAAAGTTTGCCCCTGAGCTGCTGGAAAGCAAGTCTGAAATTGTAGAGTGTGTCATGGAACAACTGGATCACATGGTAAGAGCTGTTTGTCTCAGAGTTGTGAAGGAGGAGAGCATTGAAAGGCTTTGTCCCCTTATTGAAAGGTTATGATCTGAAAGCAAGTCTGTTTAATTCAGGCCAGCCTAGTTTATTGTTTTTAAAGTTTGTATTAGTTATCTACATTTCCAAACCTTGAGAGTTATCTTCATTTACAAAACTGGGTATCAACCCCCAGTGGAAAGTGTAAAATGTACCACCACCAGCCCCACATGCTGACATGAGAATGACTGACCAGAGCATGTAAGGGCCACCCTGCTGGTATGCTCTCCACAGCCCCTAACTGCCCACCTCTTACATACCTTACTTAGTTGCCCCTTTGCAGACATTTGATTCTCTGACTCTTGACGTAAAAGTACAGCTTTCAAGCAGCATTAAAACAATGGTATTTTACAGTTTGTCAACTTGTATTTAAGACTTTAGACATTTCTTCTGTCTGCTTTCTTAGCTCCTTTACAATTGGCTTAGACTTCTCTAGACACTTCTGACTATCGTCAGATTCTATTCAGATGGTCATTTTCTAAAAGTCAGTGACTATTGTTTGATCCTTTTATAATGAGAATGTGTTATTTCTGTAAAGAAATTAAAATAAAATGAAAATTCTTTTTTATTTTATTAAAATATTTTATTTCCTTATGTCTTTATTATATATGCTTTTCCAAAATGACAGTTTTTGTAGAACAAGGTTTTATTCTCCTTTCACCTAAATTTAATCTGTGGGTTTTCAACAATGCCAGTGACAATGCTCATTATGGTACAGGTGCAGATGAAACAAAAAAGGTCCTTAGGGCCCTCCCTGGGGGCCCAGTTTGTTAGAGCACAGCACTGTGAAACTAGCTGCAGCCCCTTCAGTGCGAATCAATCCCCGGCCAGGGAAGTGACCCTTGTGGCACAGCAGACCTCTCCTGTCTCACCTGCTCTCTCCTCAGCAAGAGTATTTTATTGATCTGCCTGTTCTGCCCCCCTCTCTGTCTCTGGTGAATCCTCTCACTGCCCTTGTACCTCTGGCCTATATGTACGCCTGGATGCATGAATAACTAAATCTTTAAATAAATAAAATAAAATAAAAAGGTTCTTAGTCTTTGAGCATCATGTTTTATAGGAACTTTATTTTCTCTTTTTAATAGGAAGAAAATCTCAGGAGAGCCAAGAAGGGGGATCTGAAAGTCAGTATCCACCAAATGGAGATGGAGAGGATTCGCTACGTCCTCAGCAGCTACTTGCGGTGTCGGCTCATGAAGGTCTGACATGGAGATACTCAGCTTAAAGCAGCGCAGTCTGAGATACAGATTGAGCATAGTGGGGAGAGGCTGTGCTTGGGCCTGGGGGGCTTCAGGTCATGAAGTTGCTGCTGAAGCTTTCCAGCAGAGTAGCTAAAGAGTTAAGGAGGACCAGAGATTATTCTGGAGAAGCAGAGATAGAATGTGTATCACGCACCTCCAGGGACATAGCCCACATTTTTTGTCTACTTATCTGCAATGTGAATGGTGCCCCCTGGAATTATAGTGTAGCAGTGTTGAGGGTAGAGCTTGTATTGATTGAATAGGGGATAACAAGTAGAAGAAAACTAGTCTTAACAATTATTTTCATCTTTAATAGAAGCCATGTCAAATGCACCATGATAACTTGACATTCAGCAGTAGCATTGTGGCCATCCAACTTCTAACAATGAAATTGCCAAACATTATTTTGTATTATGTCTATTTTAGCCCCAGAAAGTTCTAACTTTCTTGAAGTTTCTTATTTGGTTCCACTTGTCCGTCTTGTTATTACAACACTAATACATTCTTTCTTTTATATGAGAGTGCTTCAGCTCTCAGATCTCATCAAAGTCCTTTCAGTCAAACATTTCAACCATTTAAAATTCATTTACTTTCCTGGTATCTTCCTTGAAAAGGTTTACATTTATCAATAACCTTTCTAAATTGTACCACCTGCCACTGAATACAGTATTGCAATTTAGTTTGTTCACTTTTGTGAAAAATAGGATAACTACTACATATTAGACTAATCGTAATGCTGCCCAGAATCTCATTAGCATGGTTCATGCCGACCTCCTTCTGTGCTCACCATTAACTTGAACATCTTCAGTTTATATGTTGTTATTATCCCATCCTGTCACCATCCTGAATTTGTGTAGTTTTGGTTTTGATCCCTAAGTGTAAGACTTGCTATTCATTTCTCTTAAACTTCAACATCTTATTAAATTGAGTCATTTCTATGGTCTTTAGGTCTTGAGCTTGGCACAAAACATTTCTTAACACTTTATATTATCAACAGGTTTGATAGGCATGTCATCAAAGGTCTTATGGTTAGTAGGACTGGGCTGGTGATAGATCATTCCATCAGGGATTTCCCTACACATTGACATCTGTCCTTTGAATCACTGTCGTTGTTCAGCATTTAGGAGTCTCCCTATCTGTACTGTCACCTAGTCCCAGCTTTAAAGTGTTTCCATAAGGGTAGCATTAAGATATTATCATCTGTTCTGGAAACACATCTCCACCCCACCCTCAACCACCAGACCACTATCTTTTCATCTCTCTTGTAAACTCAGTAATTCTTCTGAGGTTATGAAACTACATATATTTTTAGTGTACTGATAGAGCAGTATTAGTAATTTATAAGAGGAGCAAGAATGACATATATATACAAATGTATAGTTCCTACAAGTGTTAATTTATCTGGACTATAATTGATCCCTGCTCAGAACTTAGACTCATGTAAGTGGAGAAGTGCTCCTTTATCTTGGCCTTTAGAGTCCTTACCTTAGTCATTTCCCTACTTGCAGGAAGCTTTAGCAGATATAATCCTGGCAGCTTTGACTCCAAACAACAGACCAGCCCCTTCCCAATTTCTGACCACACACTTTCTTACAACTTTTAACTGTTTTCCTGTTAGTCCTTAGGATTTTTCCCAAGCCCCATCTTCTTTTGGACTTTATTCTTGCTGGTTATACTCACACAATCAAGTATCACTTTTCGTCTGTGTATGCATTCTATATATGTCTTCCCAACTTTTTATAGATTTTACCTCATATAAGAACACCCTATACAATCATATAAAAGTGTTAACTAGTTTCCCCCGCTCTTCCTTTTAAGTATCATTTATAATCATATTTTCAGATCTGCTTTTATGAAAACCTCTCATCCTTTAAAACTGCCCTTATATTACCTCTGAATTCTTTGAAACCTACCCTCAGCCAGACCTGAGTTATTATTACTAGAAAGACTCTTAACCATGAAGACTTGCCCTTTCTAAAGTCAATTTCCAGGTTAACTTCCAGCCACTCCAGAAAACTAGTACATTTGAGACATGGCTCCTGACAGATATTTTCATGACAACTTTTATTTATCCCTGCAGATAGAGAAGTTTTTCCCTCACATCCTTGAAAAGGAGAAAACACGCCCCGAGGGAGAACCTGCTAGCCTTTCTCCAGAAGAGTTTGCCTTTGCCAAAGAGTAAGTAAGCAGTAAGTGCGGGACCTGACTTTCCCCCTCCATGGCTTGTAGGCCTGAGCTCTGGTGGCGTCCTTAATGAAGCCCGTCTCAGCCACTGCTCGCTGTCTGATCGCCCACGTGCTTCTGACCACATGTGTCATTGCAGTAATTTGAATGTATGTATTTCAGGTACATGGCTAACACAGAGACCTACCTAAAGAATGTTGCCTTGAAGCACATGCCTCCTAACTTACAGAAGGTGGACCTCTTAAGGTCAGGTAAGACATCCAGAGGGCCAGAGTTAATTCCCAGATATCTGCAACTACGTTCGAAAAGGAGCTTCACCATCACTCTTTTCTCTCAAACATACAAATATATGTAGATAAGCAGAAAAGGGAAAGGGCTCCAGTTTTAAAACAAAAATTGTTAAAAGCAGATATAAGATATAAAATTGTTATAAGCAGATATAAAAGTAGATTGCCTTTCAGCAGAACTTGTGTTCTTTGAGTTAGGTTCAAATTCTTATGTTTTCCCTTGTGAGTGTGGACTCATTCATCTATCCAGTCCTTTGTTCATTCAGCAGCTATCTGCTGAGCCTCTATGATGTGCTAGGCTCTTCTGAGCACTACTTCCACCTGTCTCTGCCCACACGGGGCTGTCTTTTCCTCAGATTCCAGGATGTGTGGGGACTGTCTAGCTACTAAAACAGATTTAACTAGGAGGCTAGGAAACCCAGCCATGATTCCTTGCTACCTCTAGAAAAGGTTGGGAGAAATTCCTTTTGCTGAAAGGAGAAGCAGCAGGTCTAAGTGTAGGAGGAGAAAAGGAAGACCTAAGGCCTCCAATCTAACCCCCCTCAAAATCCCCTCAAAGTCTGAGTTAAGGAAAGGAAGTGATAGTTATAACTCCTAACCTTAGATGAACCAAATGAGGACCCCAACTTACAGGTACAAGTCCATCTCAGTCTTTCCCAATTCCTGTATCCAGTTAAGACCTTGTCACACAAAATTGCCAGACCAAATCAAACAGTTCTCCAGGGAACTGGAACCCACCATGTTCACAAGCTAAGTGTAGTGTGCAAGACCATGAGCTTGAGTGTAAGTGAGAGGAATTCTCATTCCTCTCCCACCCAGCCTATAACTTACAGCCTGTAACCCCTAAACTTACTGTAACTAGAGTAAGTCCTACACACTCCTTCAAAATTCACCCCACATCACTAAGTGAATGGCCCTCACATAAGGCTTCCTAGCATCACTGTTACCACCCTGTCAGAGGGACCCTGGTTATCCTTGTCTTCACAATGTGCAGGCTTCTGTAAGCTTTTTAAGTACCTGTCATTTGTGGAATGAGTGGTTGCTATGATAAACCAGGCCTGGGAAGTGTGTTATTTCTAGAAAGCACCAGATACCTCCTCAAATCAAACACAGACATACGCACACACACACGCAAATACTTTTTATATCAAGAGTCCCTCTGCAACTTTTTCCATATAGAGTTTGTTAGCTGAGCATTTTCTGATTGCATTATTTGTTTTCTGGCAGTTCCCAAACCAGATCTAGATTCATATGTGTTTCTGAGAGTGAAAGAACGACAAGAAAACATATTGGTAGAGCCAGAAACAGATGAGCAGAGGTGAGTGGCATGTGTCTTGATGGTAGAAAGTATTCTTCCTGCTGGGGCCCCTTCTAAGCTCTACAAATACATGTTTTCCTCCTTTTTCAGGGACTATGTGATCGACTTGGAGGAGGGCTCACAGCACCTGATCCGATATAAAACCATTGCACCTCTGGTTGCTTCTGGAGCAGTACAGCTAATTTAAAACCAAAAATATGGAAACAAGAATGAAGATGTGAGAAACCCACTTTGTGCCTAAGGACAACAGACTTTCGTCAGCGGTGATGTGGATCATTTGGGTATTGAGAAGTAGCTAAAAGCAGCTTCTCTGATTTACCACTTATCTTCCTAACTTTGTGCCATTTTAGCCAGCATCAGTAGAGGGGGCCATCGCTCTGCTGATCCTTAGAATTGAGCAAATACATGGAGACTTTCGCTTTGTGCACCTTTCCTCTCTATAGTATTATTTGAGCTCAAGAATGCAAGGCAAAGGTTGTTCATAAGAAGGCATCACTGCCTGTAATTGGAAAACTACAGTTAGCTCTGACCTTGTAGTAGCAGAATTCATTTAATCTTCTAGATAGAAAGATTAGAAATAGATGAAAGAAATAGCTCTAGTCTTTCTTCTCTGTTATGTCACTAGATTATGTGAACTAACCTATTGAACTTAGAACCAATTTCTGTCATGTATGACTGAGAATAACACCTCAACTAAATAAAGCACTAAGTGTCAGTTTGGTTGCCAAGAAGCCTGTGGACAGTCTGGGTTGGTAGCCTGATGGAGGGTGTGTGCCCTGCTGCTAACCTGCAGCCTTCCCTGACTTGCAGTGTTGCCAAGCCAGCCTCCAGACCATCTGCCATGCTCGGGCAAGACTCTCTTAGCACTGCAATATTCATTATCCAATAGTGTGACCTCCGTTGCAGGTTTTCCTTTTTAAGCTCTTCACTTTATCAAGGGAAGTGGATGACATTAATCTTAACATGAATAGAGAGTATCACAGCAATAAAGGAAGGGCATCGACAGTGAAGGAATCTTTTCTTGAAACATGATGAAAAGCAACTTGTATTCTTTATTGTTGCTTGATGAAAAGCAGTGAATTTTCATTCTCATGAGTCAAGCTGTTAAAGTAATCAATGTAATATTGCTATCATTTCTGAGAGAAATCGCCAAGGAAAGCAAGGAAGGTTTCATGTATTAATGAAAGTGTTGTATACATCACCCCTTCCCCCTAGGGTGTTTTTATCTTCAACAGCCATTTATTAAACAAATACATATCCGCATACAGTGAACCCAGTTACTGTTCAAGGCACTGAGACGCCACTGTCCCTGCTCATACAGTGACAAGTACCTTGCAGAGATGAAAACAATGACTCACCAGAGAGGGACTAGATTGGGTGACCTGAAAAGTTCTCGATGAATTTAGTGAGGTTGAGAGCTGAATAATAAGAAAGAGCCAGACACACAGAGATCCAAAGGAAGGACATCCCAGGCAGAGAAAGAAGCAGAAACAAAAGCCCTGTAGCAAAAATGAGTTCTGCCTATAGTCAGTATGGCTGGAGCACAATGGATAGAAAGCAAAATGGTGTAAGATAAGATCTGAGAGCAAGACTGCACAAATCGCTTACAGCTCTCTTTACAAAGATCCCATGTGGTCCTCACAGCATCCTTAGTGGTGGGCAAAATGAGAGAAAGCAGTCAGCAGAAAACAGCAGGTGTGTAATGGTATGTCTGAGAGCAGACTCGAAGTCTTCATAATCATCCACTCACCTGCGCTTTCTCCTTTGCCTCACTCTCATGGTGCTGAGCACAGAGCGGGGCATAAGTTATGTGCTACTGAAATCTTCATGCACACCAGTAGCCTAAAGATTAGTTAAGAAGCAGGAGGTGGGGGTGGACCAGGAGCAAGTGCGCACTTCTGCAGAGGGCCTAGGCTGAGTGTTGCAGCCGACCCAGGAATCATGGTTTGAGTGGCAATGTTCTACATGTCCTGTCTAGTTGTGCCAGGCTGCACAGTGGAGCTTAAAAGTCTCTGCTAAAACTTCAGAATCATTCCATTTCAACATGACCTCTTCAAAGGAAGATTCATTTAGATAGGTCTTTTTAAAACAAAAGGAAAGTTGTATTTCAAAACCAACTAGAAAGGGAAATGATATTGTTTAGTATGACATTAACTTAAACTTGTAGTTCATAATATTTTATTGTTAAAAACTTGTCACTGAGGGGCCTACCTGGTGCACAAGGGGTTAAATCTCAGCACTATGAACTTTTCACCAGCAGTATACTACAGCATGAGTTCACTCCCCAGCCAGGGAGGTGACCCACATGGCACAGCAGACCTCTCTTGTCACACCCACTACTGCCCTCTGCAGTATTTCAGGGGGTCTGCCTGTTCTGCTCCCCACTCCGTCTCTGATGAATCCTCTCACCTCCTGCACTTCTGGCCTATACCCCAGTTCTTGTATGCATATATAAGTAAGTAAGTCTTAAAAAAAAACAAAAAAACTCACTGAGAACATGACAGATAGTTTCTTCAAATGATTGCATCATCCTATAGTCGTCCATAACAAGGTGGCTATTCCTGAGAAGGGCCGACTGGCCATATATCCACAGCAACAGGACTCAAGCAGTGTTTATTGTGCCCAGACCCCATCAGACATCATGGATTTAATGTCACCCTCACAAACATCAAACATTCTTTTGTGGAATACAGGTTGTGAACTGTTAATCAAGTGCTTTATATATCAGTTCTTCATAGAATGCTCTTTACATACTTTATCATGAGAGACTAAATGTCCCAAACATTCAGAATCTCTCAAGAATTGGTATTTCTTTTGTGTTGTAGTAAAGCAATACAAAACAAAGCAATTCTTAGTATTTTAGTGTGCAGACTAATGGCATTAAGTGTATTCCCATCATGCAACTGTGATCACCACCTGCCCTCATAACTCTTCAAGTTATAAAACTGAAATTCTACATTTTGAACAGTAACTCCTCCTGCTTTCCTCCCCCTCAACCTTGAGAACTATCAGTATACTTTGTGTTTATGAATTTGATTATTCTAAATACCTCACTAGGTGGAATCAAACAGCTTTCCTCTTTTTGTGACTGCCTTATTTCCTTAAAAATGCCCTTAAGGTTCACCCATGTATTAATGTAGTGCAGAATTTTGTTTCTTTTTAAAGCCAAATAATATCCTATTGTTTGTATATGCCACATTTTTGCTTGCTCATTCATCAATGGATACTTAGGTAGTTTCCACATTTTAGCTATTGTCAATAATGTTGCTTTGAACATAGGTATAAAATACCTTTTTGAGCCCTGCCATTGTTTCTTTGGGGCATATACTTAAAGCAGATATTTTTATTTTTTAAGGAGTCTATTTTTTCATTGTAGCTTTACCATTTTACCAGTAGTATATAGGGGTATACTAATGGGCATGAAGCTAGTGGGTGTGAAGTAGTATTTATTGTAGTTTTGATTTGCACTTCCCTAATTATAAATTATGCTGTGGGTCTTTTTGTTACAGGGCACCACTGAACCCCCAAACCTGCCTGCTCTAAATAGGTTCTGCCATCCACCACATCAAGACAAGACATATAAGACTTTTAATGGAAAAGAACTTTAATACAAAGTGTGTAATACAGAGAAAAGACAAAGAATATGTTGTCTGAATCAAACACCCAAAGTTAGTCGTCATCTGGTGGGTAGAAGTCCACCCAAAGGCACTGGCCCAAGGCAAGTCCTGAAAAGCCACCATAAGCCTAAAGCATTCTGGCAGGGACCCATAGAAAAGGGTCAGAAATGGCCAGACAAATCTGGGAGGAAAAGAACAAAATCAAATCTTGATAAAAGCTGCCATAGTGAAACTCCCACATCTGTTTCAACCAGTCCAGGGCCAAGAAACAAGACAAAGCTTCTTCACATGACTCTCTGCTTCACATGCATCTCTCAGGTCACCTGGCTCTCCATCCTGTTCAGTCCCTCTCCAGATACTTTTTCTCCCTGCCCAGCTCCACCCTTCTTTGGATGGGGGAAGGAACCTGGAACCTCCCCTTTTCCTGGGACCATCCTGTAACATTATCTCAAACAGATTCCCCTGAGGACAAATACCCTATATAAATTGTTCTGGGGGGGGGGGGCAGATTCATGTGTTGCTCACTGTGCCATCGTCCCAGAATCCTCTAACAATTGACTTTCTGATCAGCTCACTCTGAAAACAATCTTGTCTTATCATAAAAACTTCATTTTTAAAAAGCAAAAATCATATCATTGCTTATTTAGTAGATGGATTTCAAACAATTTAACTATTTTCAAAAATTGAATATCCCTCCCATGACTAAAAAACAACTACTAAGAGTATTCAAAGGAATGCACTAGATTCTGAAGGCATGTCAATGGCCACTTCTAATTTATATCGAATATTTACTCTGAGTCGAATTATTCTATACATTAAGTTGATAAATCTTCACAATAACCCAATGCAAGAAATCCTGGGTATCATTTTGACGGAATGCTTGATCCTTGTAGGGTGTATGCCCATGTCTTTGAATAGGCTACTTTACAAATCTATAGAGGTAGAAGTTAATTTACAGAGCTCTGGTAAAGACATGACTGTTTTCTTACTGTTGTTGTGTAAATTGAAGAAAGCTAGAAGGGGCCACCCGTAAACCACCTCTACCTCTCCCCTCCATAATCAAGCGCCAAGGAACCTGCCTGAGACAAGGGAGCTCAGAGATAAAGTTGGCAGAACTGTGCCAAGCCTAAGGAACTCCTACAGCCCCTCCCAGTGGGAGAGACCCCACCGCCCTCCACCCTCCCACCCTGCAGCCCTCCACTCACCCTCCACCCTCTGACCCTACAGCTCTCTACCCTGGCACAACAAAAAATTGCTGCAGTAGCCTGACCCTATAAAAACCCACATGCCCATTTTGGGGCACCGCTCTTAGCCTGCAGAGAGTCATCACCGTCAGTCTGATAGTCTTGGCCTCCTCCCTTTTCTAACACAAATGATTCCTATAGGGCAATGCAAATGAATTTTGTCCTGTAGAGAATAAAGTCAAATCCTCATTTGAATGGGATTTTAATATTTTTCTCATTTTCCCATTACATAGTAAATTAAACATCTTTGACAAATGCCCCTTTTATATCTATATGAAAGTGAATAGTTGCTATCACATAGGTGTTTATAAATTTTTTTTGATACAATTAATAAAATGAGGGTAATGTTGTTACCCTCATTTTATAGATGAGGAAACAAAATGATCTACTGAGGATCACTGAACTACAAGGGAGAGGAGCGAGGGACTCAAACCCCAGTGACCCCAGTCCACCCTCTCAGAGTCCACCCTCTTAACTACCTTGCAGTTCTCTCCACAAAAGGCTTTAAGCAGTGATAGTTTCCCTAGAGTAAGTTACAGTCTTTCAAAAAGACTCCTTTGAAGGTGTAACTACTATCATTCACCTTCACAGTAGGTGGCATTTTTCTTAGCATAGGAGTATTTCAGGCTTTAGGCATATCATGCTCTACTTACCACAGTGTTTGCAGATTTACCTAACTTTTCAAGACAGGGAAAACCATTCATAATAAATTCAGCAAACAACTACTCTTTAAACTTCGATTCTTGTCCAGTTCTATTAGGTTCTATGAGGTTTAAGACAAAGTAAATGATTCTTTCTGCCCTAAAGGAATCTACAGTGAATCTTTTGAAGACTTC